TAACTTTAATACCGCATGATTGTGTCGTGTAAGCTTGTTTTGTGTGAGAGCCGCTGTGGTTTAGCGGGGAGATTAACAACCGGACCTAAGCTGGCCTCCAAACCTTGCCCTGCTGATGCCTCAAGCTCTTTGAAGTCTGACCATCATACCTGGCAAAACAACAGTGGAAACTAGGATGGTGTCAGATCTAATCAAATTGTCCACTGCAGCAGAGCTAACTATGGGGTTCACTAATTGGCCCAATTGCGGATTATACCCTTTGCTACAGATTCAAGACAATAATTTAGTTAAATGATGTGTTTTTTCCCCCTTATCTCTTCTAATTAAGATTCCAAAGTGGGAAGAAATAGGATTAGATAGAGTTTCAAAACTGTGTTCCCCTTAAGGTGGTAGGCAGTTTTGATAGGCTCGCTATGAAATATAGAGAGCATAGTATTAAACCAACTTCTGGAGATCCTGTGAAACCTACATGATCTTACTGTATATCTACGTCACTTGGGAATGAAAATATAGATATGGGAATGGTAATATAATGAATATGTTAAATGTAAACACATAGAAAAATGACATTTCCATTGTTAAAGTATTAATTTGGATCTACTTTTGAGAAATGATTTCATCTATACATAGATGTCTGTGTTCTACTTTGATTTTCTCTTGCTAACTGCAGTATATCTGGGAACTGAAATACCAACCAGTATTTGTGGAGGGTATCTGTATTAGAAAAGGTGTTTTGGGCTATATGGTCCATGATGCTACAACTTAATAATACTCCCAAGCCAGATATTTCCATTTCCATTATTATATTTTAGTGACATAAGTGTGAATTGACAAATAAGTTGACTATCTCTCCCTTTTACCTCTAGGTATAGTCACCTTTCTACATCCCATTTAAAAACTAGAAAGGCTGTTGACAAAATGGAGTTAAGTAAGGAAACCTAGGACCAAAGGTGTCATGAATACAACAGTGTTGTCCAACACTGTCACTGTGACTGGCACCCTTGTAGCTTGCAAGAGTTTATGATTTCCCAATACGTAAAAATTTCAAATAATTCTACAGAATCATATCAAGTACATTTCAGTATTATTATAAAGCTAATTTATACTGACCCATATACTAATTTATAAGACCATATACTATTCTGGTCTTAATACTTAAGTGAATCTACTAAGCAAGTGCATAAAAAATAATGTTACTTCGTAAGTACTGGCTGATCTGTTATTCTGTGAGTAAAAGTTCTTTGTGATCGAAGAGGCACCAAGGTCCTATATTCTGAGTTATGGGCAAAGTATGACGATAACCTGAAGCAAACTTGATTTACGGAAATCTCAATATTCATTTAGTGTACAAGACCCACACAGATGTGCTGTTTATGATAATTACTATTTTGGGACCAATTAAAGCCTACAAAAGTATTATTTATCCTTACATTTAAATTTTGCAGTGAACAGCGAATGTCTTTTGTATATTTCAGCAAAACCCAGTAACCATGCATTCTGACTTGAACACAGAAACACTGAATCTTAGACCCACTACCCAAGCAGAAATGCTGTCTTTAATAGCCTTGGTGGAGGCTGTAACCAATGTAATATACATTATCATGTGTATTAGAAAGTCAATTACTACAATATGTTAAGCTATGATCAGGCCAAACAATGCAACATCAAAATAGCAAAATGCTACTAAATCCAAGCAAAATGCTATTCCTATGACATCATCAAATTAAATGGAGCCATGTTTCAAATCCTACCAAGTCTTACTTGTTTGTGTATTATAATTACATCATAATTACTAATATAAAGAAAAAAACTGGTTAATGATAATACCAATATTAGAAAAAAAAAAATTACAGGAATTAAAAAAACATAGAAGTGTAAGTCGTTATTTCAGCTTGGAAGTGAACCTATGTACCCAGATTATGCATTTTATAGAAGTTTACTGAGAATGAAGGCAGTGATTAGAGGTCACTGACCAGTGGAGCTTATATAATACCTAGAGCTGTTTATGGGAACTATTTTTTAACTCCATAATTTATCTATATTACATTTATTTCAGCAAAGATTTTATACCTACTAAGTGTATGACTCTGTTCTTAATTTCGGGATAGCTATAAAGATGAAAAAAGACATCATTGCTCATATTGAGTCTACTATTATATATTAGTTATAATTAATTACCTTTATAATTATATAGGAAATACAAATCACTATATGGAAAATATAAATAAGTCAGTATAGTACCCCTTACACAATAAAGGCATAATAAGTGGTTGCTATGACTGAATGGAGTTTATGTGGTAGGTAAAGGAATAAATAGTATATTATGGAGAGTTACCATGTACAGTTTACAAGAATTATCAATTTACGGAGAACTAGAAACTACTACTTTTAACTGAAGGCATATTGAATCAACTTTAGACTTTCTCTTTTACTTATCCAGAAGGTATGACAGGATTTCACTGTCTTTACTGTAGATATGATTCTGCTATGGTTTTTGTAGAAGGGCTAATTTACAGGGCTTTATAGTTGACGAATATTAGGTATTAGTAAAAATTTACTGGGATCAGATAAGATAAATGCTTCCACTTGAATCTAGACAATACCAATACACATTCCAAGAAGGAAGAAATAGTCTTTTGCTATCTCCAAATCACTCAAAGAAACTGGAGACTAGAATATATCACCAAAGACTTGCTATCTGTTTGGGTATGCATTTTATAATGTACAATGCTAAATTTAAGCATTTAATCTTATACAAATCATGATTTTATACTATTATACCTACATATACTTTTATTAGGTTTAATTCTTTATATTTTTCTAATCACCAAATTGAATTTCATGGCATAAGTAAGTTATGTAGAATAAGTTTATATATATAAATATATACGTACATTTATATATATATATATATTTATTTATTTATTCATATATAAACTTACATAAATATATTTATTGATTAGGTTATAAGCCAAAAATGTAAAAGATTTGATTGACTGTATTAAATATTAACTTTAAAAAACAGCAGTCATTTACTAGTGTTTTATTTTTAAATATTGCTTCCAAACCACAGGGTCACCAATTATAATGGTTCTTTTAGTTTAGAATAGTGGGAAGAGAGGAGAGGAAATGAAACCCAAGTGGTTAATGAGTGATCTTTCATCAACTTCAATGGTCAAATGTAGTCACTACTGGGACCTAAAGTTATTTAGAGGAGGTCTCCCTTGACATTATGTAACTCCTTTATGTCGACCCTCTCACCCCCAAATAAGGCACTGTGTGTATGTGTGTGTGTGTGTGTGTGTGTGTGTGTGAGAGAGAGAGAGAGAGAGAGAGAGAGAGAGAGAGAGAGAGAGAGAATGAATAAACATGAGTCATACTACTGTGCTACATTTTTCTCTAGGTGCAATCTTCTTTTCACTAGGGAGTCTCCTTGTTTAGTTTTATACATGATACCTTAGACTTGGTTGTTGGAATACTTATCTTAGGAGAAAGATGTCACATGGAAAAGAAACCTTACATCTCTTACTAAAAATATAAATTGAACTTAAAAGAAAATGAGAAGGCATGCTCTCTTTGTGACACCAACAACTACAACTTCACATTTTTATTTTAACTATATATATTATGGCAAATTTCTCAATATTCTGACTGAAAAACTAAAACAATGTTAGAACAATTATGGTGTTGGGTTCCCTTTCAATGGTTTCTTTTGAGAACTAAAGCGAATTAGCTCAAGAATCAGTATTTCTACACTCTGGTTCTTTTGGCTTTAAGTGGCTTTTGAAGGGAGTATCCCCAGATGAGAAACTTCTAACGCTCCTGCAGAGATGACCTGCTTGAAGAACTGGCCGCCTGATTAACTATTAACTGCTCTCAATAGGATTAGATAATTAAGGACATTGATGACCATTAATTAGGAGGAGGGCACATTAATTTGTCACTGGATAGGGCCCTTACAATGATTTATAGGTTAGTGCTACTTGCAAATGTGAGGGGAAAAAGAAAAAGAGAGAGAACCATTAAGCTACCTTATCAAGTGGCCAGCTAAAGAGGGCAGAGGGTCAAAAAAGGGCCAAAGTGGTCACTTAAGGGTGAAGTCCCAAACACCAAAGCAGTGCCAAGCCACATTGACCATCATTTGGTGATGAAGGTAAAAATATGCTAATTTATTGGTGGCAATTCTCTCTTTTTATGGTTTCAAGCAGTTAAGACAAGTGGCCTGCTTAAGAGCTTTTCATTTGAAAAGAGATTAAACAAAATGGTTTGTCAAGGCTGCTTGGCTGTTTTATGTCTTTGTTAAAAAAAATTGCACCGACTATACTGATAACTATCACATCACCCAAAAGCCATCTCTCTCTGAGCATTTATTTCGTTAATAAATACATCAACCCTAATTGCTTAATAGTGCTATGTTCATTTGCTCTTTAGCAAGATTAGGTTGAAATAAATCTTCTGTACTACCACTTTCTGTCACTATTACTTGCAGAGAGGTCACAAGAAAAAGTTTAAGTTGTGTGGAAAATTTACTTAAAGACACTTATGAAAATTAGAGCACTTTGTATAATTTAGCAATGAAAGCGGAAAGGTGATTTCACCGCTAGTATAAAAAACCTGCTTTTAGAAGGTAGCTCAGGATCCCCCTTCCTTAGCCCTACACAGTCGTGGTAGCATTCACATTCCACACACATAAGCACAGCTCATCAACATTTAATTAAATATGCCTTCGAAAGCCTTGAAAATATACTCATGTTAAGTTTGCAGCTTACTTTAAATAGACATTTAAAACAAAATCATTTTTGCTATACTTTAATAATATGCCATTCAAATAAAAGAAAAAATAGGATAGTCTAAAAATATTATCTTGTTACCTCAAAAGAACTTAAAAATATTAGCATGAACATCTAAGAATTTCACTGAAGTAAAAGAAGATATACATATATAAAGAGATACTATTTACTTTAAGACTGCAAAGTAAAATACAAAAATTCTCTTCTTACCTCAATGGTGAATAGCTTCCTTTTTAATTTAAAAGCTAAGTCTTTGACATCTGACACGTCACACATCAAGTTATTAAGCCGAGGAATCTGCCGTATGTGAAACAAACCTTGAGGAAAGGAAAATAAAAGGGAAAAAAAATTTAAAATGCTGTCATTGGATGCATCAATTAAAGAGCCTTCCAGCAGAATCCTGTAAATTTACACACAAGCCCCCTCCCCTTTAAAACTGAAGCTTACTACCAGGAGCAATGAGGCAAATGGTGTGATTATACCCAAGTAATCAAGCAGAATGAAGATAAACAGAAATCCTTGTGCGAGGAAAACTAACTGCACTTCAGTAAGAAGTACAGATGTGAAGAGGGATCTTACCACTGTCAAAACTACAGCCGGTCTGTGTGTGATTTTCTCTTGTATTTACAGTAAGCAAATATGGCTCTCACCTTGCATGCTGCCCATGGCGCCACCGGGCGATCTTTATTTTATTAAATGCCCCAGTAAGCAGCCAGCAAAACAAGGCTGATGGGTTACTGATAACTGGGGAAGCACTCGTGAAAAGTATTCCACTTTGTACCTTATTAATGACTTGAAGAAACCATGGAGGAAAATGACATTTTAGAGCACACTCGAGGATAAACATTAGCCCCCATGCCATCCCAAGACCCTCCTTTCTGGGGCTCGTTAGATCTTTGAGGATCTGCTATAAGCTTTGTAAGAGTGCTAGGTAAACCGTGAGCTTTGGCCTCTTGTCAGCAGAAACACTTGCTAATTTTTTCTGACAAGGGCACTGGATGGCTTTTGTGCAGCCTAATGCAGTTTCTGACTAAACTAGGGGTCGTCTGCCACAGATGAAGACATGGAAGATTATTCAGTGCATTTCTCTGCCTGACTCAGCAGCCCATATTTAAAAATCTCCATCCCAAAGACATTGATTCCTATACATGGGGCAAGAAGGCAAACCCAGATTTGAACAAAGTAAATCAATCTTATTTTCAGAACCGCTTCTCTAGTATAGAGCTTTGTGTGTGTTTCAGTGTTGAGTAACATATGTATTAATTTTAGCTTTAAAAGGGTAAAACTCCAGGTGCTTAACTTTAGAAACATCCCCTTCAAAAATAATTCACTAAAATATCTGACTTATGCAAAAGGTATTATTAAGACAGTTTTGATACAAATTAAAAATATCTCATGCAGAGCTATTTAGTAAAATATATTAGAAATAAGCACACCATACTTTCATTTGCACAGTTTTCATTTTAATTTTGCATGTGCTTATTTAGCTAACTACTAAATCAGGAGGCTTTATAGAATGAATGAGTGATTCCTCCGGTCCTTCTTATTAACAGAAACTTTACTGGTCATCAGAACTACCCACTGATTTGTGGAGAATAATTTATCAATTCAGAGATTTCAGCACAAAAAAGTCATAGTCTTTCAATGCTTGAAATGCTTTAATCAAAGTAAGTTGTTTTTTTTTTAAAGAATATAAAATATAATTTTACTAAATTTGCAAGGTCATAACACTTATGATACTCAGATATAATTTATTTGAGTTGTTTTAAAAAAAAACAGAAATAATAATAAATTAAAGAAATAATTTGTCCAGTTGTACAATAAGTAATACCTAGGGATGTGACGCACAGCATGGTGACTATGGTTAACAATACTGTATTGTATATTTGAAAGCTGCTGAGAGAGTAGATCTTAAAAGTTCTCATCACAAGGAAAGGAAATGGAACTATGTATGCTGATGAATGTTAACTAAACTTACTATGGTAATCATTTCTCAACATATACATATATAAAATCATTATGTTTTACACCTAAAGCTAATAAAATGTTACATGTCAGTTATAGATCAATAAAAAAAAGAACTAGCTTAATCTTAATAGCTCTTTTTCTATCATAATGACAATATCACATTAAATGAATAATATATAGGATCTGGGCATATACCAGACGCATACTTAAGCAAGTAAATGATCAAGAGGCAAATGATTTTATGTAGCTTTTGTTCACAGCTTATATTTTATAGGCTTTAAAAAAACACTTGCTTGTTAGATTGTGCTATTTTATTTTATAAAGATTGTATGCTGACTCTTTAAAGTGGTGGCAATCATTGTATAAAGTACATGATCATCTTTTATGTGTAGACTCTGGGAATTGCCATAGTCCTGCAATCTCGGTCTTGCACAATCTTGTAGCAGACTTCAAATAAGCTATTCAGTCTTCAGACTAGAGGTTTCTATGTAAATATGGTAGGTCAACAATAGTAACAGCAATAATTCGTATTTACTCAGAATAAATAAATAGGTAAAAATCTATTGTTCATCACAATCTATATTCAGCTTAGATATAAGATACACATAAATACTAAACCTTTTCTATTGCAATAGTTCTATGTAAGAACCTTTATTAAAAAAATCCCCAAATCAACCAAATGACTAAAATACTATTAAAAGCTTCAAAACATGTAAGTTAAAAAGTCTGAATAAGTGACCTGTGTATACTAGGGTGGTGGTATTTGAAAATCTGTTCATAATTCAAACAAAATGAGTAGACGGAGAAAAGCCCAAATATAATCATAGATGCTCACTTTCTGAAAATGTGATTGACTAGGACTTTTAAAACATAATACAGTCTAAATTTTATTTTTTACTTATACAGCTAAGCTTTGTAAAGCACAAACTCTTATACAAAGCTGTTATTATTAAAATTAATATACTTATTTCAAAAATGGCTAATAAGTACAACTGACTTCATGGCAAGTTTAGGCCACCGGGACAATGGAATGTACATCTTAGTCTAGGGTTTGACTCATTTCAAACAGTTACCATAGCCTGTAGTCTTAATGTAGTTTGGTGACAAGCTGCCGTGGAAGACTGGCCAGGAATAGGAAACATTTAAGAGATATATTATAAAATAAAATTCATGCTACTGGACAGTAGGTATTATGACTGGACAAGATGCTTCCAGGTAACCTAGAAGCAACCAGGACATGCTCTTCCCATTACAAAGGTGCTGCTTACCATGATAATTCTTATATAATGGGTTGGTTTCTCGCTCAGAACCAATAAATGACTCCAGATGAACTACTGTATCTGACAAGTTTGTGATACGAGCAATAACTGCTTTATTCTGTAAAACAAAGGAAACAAAACACTCATGTTATGTTTAAAAATATAACACGTATACAGTGCCATTATGCCACCTCAATGACAAATTGAGGAGACAGACTAGCAACATAGCAAGAGAAACGACTTAAGAATTAAAGCTACTGCAGGCCAAAAACTGGATGAAAATATGCCCTTAACTGAAAATTCCAGGCCATGTAGGTATGCTATTTTAAATCAAAGAACTGAGGGGACATACTTTAGTCTGGGTAGAAAATAAAAATTATTTTTCTCTTGTCTTAAGGGGAAAGTCTACCTTTATGCTCATATACTATTATTTTTCAAATTACTTTAGCCATTGCCCAATGGAAAATCTGATGGATACCAGGATTCAGAAGCAGTAGGCAGTACAGTAAAATGCACAAGGTAAGGTCCTACCGTCATCTGTCAAATGGGATCAGGTCCCAGCCCTTTAACAGCTGAGGTCATCTATCATATTAGAAACAGGGAAGGGCCCAGCTAAGAGGCTGCAGCATGGCTAGCTCTGGAGTCCTCTCCTTTCTTTTTCCAGATGCTGCTGTTTGGCTCTGGGATAACAATAAAGGCAAATAAAAGATGGTAGGCAGCTAGTCCAGTGCTAGTTGCCTACTCTTTCCTTCCCAACACACCCTGATATGAACCAAAAGTATTGCTAAACAATATATTTGTAAAAAATTACATTTTAAGTAGCCAAAATTCTAAAATACCCAGAATTTCATGGCTTTACAATACAATCCTTAAATATCTTATAGGTTTTCCTGAGTTATTTTATTTAATGGAAAGTCAGTATTCCTTTTAATCTGACAGGCCGGTAGGTCAGAAAATTGTTTTATAAGCTATAACATCCTAGAAAAAGTTTTGTTATGAAGAGCTTGGTAAGTTGAAAAAAAATATCATTTGTAAAATGTTATAATTTGGAAACTCCAACTTTATACATTGGTAATGTCCACTAGTTTAAACTGAATCTTTTAAAAAAGGATTAGAAATCTAAAATAGTCAAGAAAATTTATGAATCTGATGCCATGTCCCCTGTTAGAGAAAAGCCCAAATATAGTCAACGATGTCCCCTCTCTGAAAACGTGCTTGGCGTCTGAACTGACTGGCCTTCCTCTGCTTCTCAGCCCTCTGTGAAGACTGTATAAGAAAGGAAAATAAAAGAGGGCTGGTCAGCGCTGCCTGACTCACATGGAGCTCTCAGCAGCCCGGCTCTGAGCCTTACGCTGGAACGCCGGCTGCCTCGCACCCAGGGCAGAACCTGACACTCCTCCCAGGGAGGGACGTGTGCTGTAGGAAGGGTGTCCCGGCCTCTGAATTCATGCTTTTAAAAGGAACAAGGGAAAATAATTATTCTTCATTGTCTTTCATACTTCCAATCACGTGGGCGCCAAGAATAGAAAAACAAACATAAAATGGAAATGCCTGTTTTTTTTCTAAGGCAATTTTTCACTCAATGGTGAGAAAATAATCCAGATTGATTCCTCACTTTCAGTTCTGTGCCACAGGGGACGGTCCCACTCCAGGAATAACAGGGGCTTCAGAGGCCATAAACATGTTCCTCTCAATATTTCTTTAGCCAAAGACCATTATATCAAACTCATCCAGGTTGGGTTTCAGCCAGTTATTCTTCACCCAAACAAAAATGTCTGCCAGACATTCCAACAGCTGGGAGACAGTTCACAATGAGTGAACTTGAAAATGATGCATTGTGCTGAGTGCCCAACA